AAGACGGGTTGCTTCGAAATAGTCTTGTGTCCAAACTATAGAGATTTGCACTTTCTGTGATATGTCTTATGTAAATTTTCTAAGCTGAAAGGAAACAGGAATCACGATGCTACATCTACTTTCGTAAACTAATGCCGGCGCCAGAAATAAATGGAGAAAACTCTAAGAACAATATCTCGCGAACGGATACAGCTAGCGATCTCGGCTTTTCAGCATTAGAAAGAGTGTGATTGCGGGGTCAGATCTATATCATATTCACTAGATTAGCGAATGATCAAGGTTTTTAACTACCGTCAAAGATTTTGTGCCCTACCGAACAAAAACGTTTTCAAATAGAATTTCAATTCCAAAGTCATCATTCGATAGCGCAAAGTCAGCTCTTTCAATCTACGCAAACCCAAACTTTTTATCATGTACCATTCAAAAATTACTCTTCCTACAGTGGAAGTAGATCACGCGTCAAAAATACCCAGGTCGATCGTTCCGGCCACCGGATATTGCAGGAACCGGCAGGAAAATGCGGGAAAAATCACCGTATCCTGCAGGAAAACACCGGAAATAGCCGTAACATGGAAGCAGTAGTCCGGCCGGAAATTCTCCGGATTTTTTCCGGTGAATTCCGGCCAATTTCCTGTGTTTTCCGGCAGGAACCGAGCGGAAAATCAGCGGAAAAAATTCCGAAAATTTCCGGCCGGAATACTGCTTCCATGTTCCGGCTATTTCCGGTGTTTTCCTGCGGGAACCGGCCGGTACTTTTCGACCTGGGTATGATTTTTTCGAGTGAGAAGACTTTTTTCATTGTTTATGAATGGCAGCTTTCGACAATTATGAGTCGCGTAACAACAAGCGGATTGTCATTTAGGCATAATTGACTTCAATCGCTACTATGTTTTATCGTTTCCTTCCAAATCTGATACAAATGACACTGTTCACCACACATCATCTCTTCTATTGATTTGTACCGAGAACTATTGGCTCGATAGGTGCTATGTGATATTTCATTTTCTATTTTTGTATCCATTGGCTAGAAGGAGAGGAGCAATAAATTGCTTTGGTGATTCATACTGATCTATATCTGTACATGTGTACGTATATAAACAGATCATATTATTAGTAACTTCATTTTTTCACCATTGAAAACATGCCTCAAGGCGCTCATTTTACTTCTGAAATCAAAGAAATATATTTTCGTGTTATCGATTTCGTTGAAAGTGAAAAAAATGGACCACGAATTCCAATGAATAATTTGACGGCGCGCATCTTGACAATTCTGGGAATTTCTGAATCTTCATTGTTTAATTTGAAGAAGGAAATGAAAACGATACGTGAGTCTCGAGATACGCAAGTGAAACAAGAAGAAGAGAAGCGTTTACGAACCCGATCAGCGTCACAAATCTAGCCGACAAATATTTCACATGAAAAGTAGAATATTTTAACCTGGTCTACAACTTATGCAATGAATATGATTCAACTAAAGACTCCTCGTAAAATTCCAGGACGTCCATCGATTCAATTATCTGAAGAAGCTGATGATGAGATTCGAGTCCAGTTTCATCTGTTGCTGGCTGAAAAGATCTATCCTACTATTGCTATTCTTCTTGAACGTCTTCTCTCAGCTCACAAAGATTTTCCAGTTCGCTCAGAAACCACTCTTCGGCAACATATACATCGATTAGGCTTTACCTATCAAATGACAAGCAAAGTAAAGGTATTACTTGACGACAACTCTTTCGTTGCCTAACGAGCTTGTTATTTTCGCAAAATTAATGAATTACGAAAAGCTGATGCCTTGATTTTATTTCATGATGAAACTTGGGTGAATATTAACGAGGAGAAGAGATCAATATGGGTTGATGATTCTGGCAAAGGAAGACTTAGAAAAACAGATGGAAAAGGTATCACGCTAATTATTCTTCCCGAGAAAATATTTATGTATGCATATATATTTAATATAGGTACTCGATTGGGAATATCTGCTATGATTGATAAGAATGGCTTTCATCTGCCTTCTGTCGACATCTTCGACTGCTCAAAAGATCATTCGATGACGTCATCATACTTTAGTGAATGGATTAAAAAGGCAGCTTTTCGTCTACGAGAAGACAATGGTAAAGTCTTTTTAAAGAAGAATTTCTTAAGTTTTAATTTTGATTAAAGACCCCAGCCAACGAATCGCCATAGACATCGATAATGCCACATGGCATTCAGAGCTTACCGATAGTACTAAGCCTGCAAAGAGATCGATGCGGAAAAATCAGATAATCGAATGCTTGCAAAATCACGACATCGAATTTGATCCAACATTAAAGAAATCAGAATTGTTAGAGATTGCTTCGGAAAATAAGCCCAAAAAAAAAATATAAGGTATAAGCTGTTTCATAATATTTACATGTTTTCAATTTATGTTCATTAGATCGACGAAGTTGCACAAGAATTCGACGTACAAATCGTGCGGCACCCAGTGCGACATTGTTCATTAAATCCCATTGAGCTCGCCTGGGCTGCATTAAAAGATTATATTCGCAAAAACAATACCAACTTTACAATGAGCAGCGTTTATGAATTAGCCGCCGAATTTATCGCTGGTTTTGATGATAAGGCTGCACAAGATGCCATTCGTCATGCTGAAAAACTTGAAGTGACGTACAAAACAGCAGATAATTTTGTAGAAAATATTGTTGAACCACAATCAATCGACGACGTATCGGACACCGAGATTGATAATCTTTCCGATGATAGCGATGATAGCACGGATATTTGAGTACGTTGTTGCTTGATTCGTTGCACACTAAATTTTCCTTAATTAAAAGCACTGACAAATAGAAGAGATGATGTGTGGTGAACAGTGTCATTTGTATCAGATTTGGAAGAAAACGATAAAACGTAGTAGCGATTGAAGTCAATTATGCCTAAATGACAATCCACTTGTTGTTACGCGACTCATAATTGTCGAAAGCTGCCATTCATAAACAATGAAAAAAGTCTTCTCACTTGAAAAAAATCATATTTTTGACGCGTGATCTACTTCCACTGTAGGAAGAGTAACTTTTGAATGGTACATGATAAAAAGTTCGGGTTTGCGTAGATTGAAAGAGCTGACTTTGCGCTATCGAATGATGACTTTGGAATTGAAATTCTATTTGAAAACGTTTTTGTTCGGTAGGGCACAAAATCGTTGACGGTAGTTAAAAACCTTGATCATTCGCTAATCTAGTGAATATGATATATATCTGACCCCGCAATCACACTCTTTCTAATGCTGAAAAGCCGAGATCGCTAGTTGTATCCGTTCGCGAGATATTATTCTTAGAGTTTTCTTCATTTATTTCTGGCGTCGGCATTAAAATGAGGAATTTATCATTTTAGAATGGTTGTCATTGATGAGAATACATAACATGGTGTCTTTCTCTTTTTAGCTTTCATTAAACTCTATAGAATACTTCAATAGAATGGTACATAGATCTCGAATAACATAGAAGAGAGTAATTTTATGCCGTCGTCAATAAGAAATATAATAAAAGTGCATATTAATTTCTAAAGAGATATGTTCATTTACAGATATTCATTGGATGTGAGTAACATGTCAACAACTTCATTGGCCTCAATACAAGTTGAGATGACGATTCGTATTAGATTATCAATTTATATTATTATTGATAATCTCGATGGTATTCTTGATCTTTTTTGTATTTCTTCAAAAAGCCAGGAGAAATAACCCATGCATTATTTTTCTTATCGATTACATGATGACAAATTTAGTTTACATTAATTTTACTCTACTTTCAGCTTTACTTAATGTCTATGGAATGGATCCATCGACTAGATGTGACATTTTTCTTTCCGTCATATTAGAATGTAAATTAGTTTTGTTTTCTTAGCTATTGCCTCATATCTTCTAATAATGACTTCTTTGGATCGAATGTTTGTTTCATCATCTAATGCACAAATTCGTCAAAGTAACAGACGTTTTGTTCTATTATTGATCATAGTAATTAGTCTTTTTTGGATTCTTTTTCGTTTGCATGCCATTTTCTTTTCTGAAATTCAAATTACAGATGGTCTATGACTTAGTTGTAATAGTCAATCAGATATTCCTATAATATTTGTCTCTTATCAATGCAATTATTCCAATTACACTAATGACTGGATTTAGAATTCAAACATTGCTAAACATAAAAGGTGTTCGTGGAAATTGTGCGCATTCACAGGATCGATGTATTATTGCACTACTAATAGTTCAATTGGGTATATATATATATCTCTTTATTTACCAACTTTGTGTATTATGTCATTCTATATTGTCAATTTTTTCAAGTGAGCATATTACCACTGTTGAATTTAATTAGAAACAGTTTTTTCGTTGAACTAATGCGAGCTTTATACAAATTGTTTGGATTAATACAGATAAGAAATCAAATAGATACATCATTCAATCAGACAAGAAATATAAATATATTACAAATTTCAGAAACGATAGCACATTTGAACGACACAAATCCTATTAAAACAATACGCCAACAAGTAAAGAAAGCTGGCAAAATTAATTTTCAAAACAGCTTTCTATAAATTAAAACGATTAAATTTCCTATCAACAAAGATATTTTATTGAAAAAATTCGATCATCTTCAATGAAAGTTATGACATACGAAAAATTGAAAAATTTCTAATAGAATTGGGAACGTTTGATGACGAGCTTATACGTACAAGATTATTGAATATAGATTTATCAATGTACCATTGCCAGAATACATGATAAAATTAACATAAAATATTTGCAGTTACTTTCAGAAATACTTATCTCTTACATTTTGAGATGTTTTAGTGCAGAGTTGTATATTAGAATAAATATTTCTAAACTCTCTTGGAATTCTATCGTGGCCCATTTTTCCTAGAAAGATCTCCTGGGAGTCTTCACCCTCTTCTATTCAAATCTAGAAGTTGCAAATTGATCTCTTTCGATAGATATTTTAGGTTAAAATCAGTACACATAAAAGAAAATAGAATATAATTCATAAATGTCAAAACGAAAATAAAGAAGGTTTGAATATGAATATTTAAAAAAAATTCAGTAGCAGATGGAAGATTGACTGTAACGTCACTCTAAATTAGACATAATGTCACGTATTTAAAAACAATAAAAAATTATTGCACGTAAATTCTTAAATAACACATTTATCATTTGTGTATAAATATTACGACAATACACATTAAATATATATATACCGGGTGCGGCATAAAGATTGCAACATTTAATATTTTGAAAATATCTTATCACAGATCAATTGTACAATCATGATTCTATTTTCAAAGAATGGGTCGTGATAAACTTTACAGAAACTATAAGAACAAATCCATATTAACTTGTATTGATGGCATCTCTTTTATTCAAAATAAATAGGTCACATGATGGTATTATGTCCCATCGTATTAAATATTTAGAAGAGTTTTTTGTTTTTTAATAGGACATTGTTTTTACAGTTTTTGTAGTGCTTTTTACTACGCATCGTTTACCAACAAAATGGATGTTCTAGTATTTGCTTAACCCAAGATGCATACAAAATAAAAAATGTCATCAACATTTTTGGACGCTCGGTAGAAACATCACGCAGGTCTTTAATTTTAACGAATTAGAAGTATTCAGAGCGAGGCAATAGGGAATTGTTCATACAGCTGTTGTAGAGGTTTTGACGGCGTATCTTCTGAAAAAATTCAATGTGTTTTCATTTTCTTGAGATGAGATATTTGCAAATAAAATCAAATCTTCTAAATATTTAATAAGATGGAGACACCATCAGAACAAATCAATAGGGATTTTTTCACGGCACGTCTTTTAAAAAAAGAATCAAGATTAAATGATTGATCTGCGAGAAAAACTTTACAAAATACTCAACGTTGCAATCTTTACGTCGCATCCGGTAATTGCACCGTGTTTATCTTAATTAATATAGAAATCGAATGATTTAAAATAAAATTAATCTTCTTATTTTTCCTTCAAAGTATATTTGATTTAGTCATATATTTATTTATTAATCGTCATTATTAATATATGATAGTAAAATGTTAATTAAAATAGACGCCAGCTTCGAATGGATTTTTGAAATTATGTTCGCATAGCGCCCTGTTAAGTTTTGCAAGCATACACGAAGTAGCTTAGTTTAAACTCAAATATTTAATAACAATTTTGTATAAAAGTTATTATTCTGAAGAAACTTAGTCATGACTCCTAAACTTTTTCTTTAATCTCTGCAATGAGAATTGTGCCAAACAAATTGACATTGAGCGAACATAATTTCACAAAATCCTTCGAATATGACGTCTAATTAAAGAGTTATTGATATTTTAGTGAACAGAATCACATCAATCAGAGAATGGACGCTGACATATATTTCATCATAAAGACTCATCTTTATCTTAAATTGTTTAAATAGTAAATATTTTTTTAGTTTTCTCACTTTTCTAAGCTACGTGAAAAAGCATCAGTTTAGTGAAGATTCTACGCCAATCTTTCTATTATTATCTTCTAGAGGGTGTGGCTGTGCGAGAAGAAAAGACATACCCACACCCTACTTAAAATGTGATTTAAGATTATGGATAAAATGGATATCAAAGTTTTAAAACTTTTATTTTTCACATACAAGGATAAAATTTTTTTATTTTACGATAAAATCATTCTCACTGCTTACTGGTCCTTGATCAATTATGGTTTTGTTGGCAAGGATCAAGACGAAAAGGTAACAAATTATACCTTGTTCTATTGATGTTTATTGTTTTTTATTATATTATAGGAAAATGTGATATTTACCTTCTATCGAGATGAACATGATCTTGTAACAATAAACTATTTGAAGGAAAATTTTAATGTAAGTTTATTCAATTGGTATTCATTTTTAATTCTCTTTTTATATATAGAGTAATGGAAATGGAATATATAAGTTGTTCGCCATTGAATACAAGAATTTCATCAATCAACAAGAGTATGTTAAAAAATCTTTTACTTTCCTTTCTTATTTATAAATGCTGTTTTTTTTATAGTAATGATATTGAATGTTACATGTCTTAGTTTAAAAGATAAGAAATAAAGTTATTCGTATATTCGCTTAGATAGAAAATGAACAAGAACAGTAGCAACAACACAAGGTTCAATACAACAATTGATCAAACAAGAATAGATATTAACGTTTCCATCAACTGAAAAATGATAGTTTTCTTTTCAGATAGTTATCATTCCATAAAATAAATTATTTTGTCACATCACATATTGTTCAACGATGCTCAATCGACTTTTCTGTTTCTTTTGTTAGATATCCATGTTCTACATCTTTATTTTTTCCATTTTATTTTCAAGAATATCCACTAAGAGATAATCGATTTTTTATCTATAACAAAATATTTCCTTTGATATGCATCTTGAACTCTATATCCTTTTCATTCCAATGCCATAATTATATATAAATTAATCTGTTCTTAAACATTTTTTATTAAAACAAACATTCATCACAATCATAATATTTTTCATATGTTCAGAAATTAGACATTTACCAATTAAACATAACGAACGTACCTTTGAACAGTTTATTCGTGTTGTATTTCTTGTAAAATGTTGTGTCACTCTTTTCGGTACTTGATAATCGACAGCAAAGATAGAAAAACTATTTGGTAAACAGGTTTTCATATCAACAAGAAATTGTTCGATATAGTCATCTTGAGCTTCACTAAGATCAAGTTGAGATAGATGTGGATACTCAATGATCGATAAATGTTCATTGTTATCATGTAATTTTCTAGATGATTTTTCATTAATTAAAGTTAATTTTTTCATAAATGGAAATGATTGAGAGATTTGAAAAAGAAATTTATGTTCAAAAGGTTGTTCATCAAATAACGATATTTCACGAACATGTTTAAATATTCCAGCTGGAAAATTATTTGTTATTTTGTGATACTCTTTCGGTTCATATGGACACGAATAAATATGACATTCATCTCGTTCAATCTCAGAAAAATAATCAACACAAGAAATAATCTGTTTATTTTTTTTGAAAGTCATTGAATGTATATTTAATATCTTCATTCAACAGTAAATTAATTTGATTATGAAGACTAACAGTTGAGCGAATGTTAAATGTAAATTTATTTAATTGTCGCATATGATTCATATTATTTCTTTTCAAATTATTGCCATCAATAAATGTATTATTGCAACAAATAATAAGATGTAAATGAAGTTTTTCTAAATTTAACATTCGATGTAAAAGTGCGGAACAATTAATTCATCATAAACAACTGTATCTGTATCACAATATAATGAAGAGCATTTCATGTTAGGTAAACTTTCCTAAAAAAAACAAACACATAGAAGTTCACTTGAATAAATTAGATATTATTAAGAATAATCTACCGTATTATTGATTGTTAGACGTGAAGAACGACGAATCCAAGAACTTTTAACACGAAATACTCCAAGTTGATTAACACGTCCATCGAGTAAATAACGACAATCATTGAAATGTAATACATGTACATGTAGTTCTAAAAGAGTTGAAGAAATAAAAATTGGAGGTGAAATATCAAATGATATGTATTCAGAATAAATTGAAGATGAATCGAAGTTTAAATACTGTAGATTGGTAAACACAGTAAAGATATTTGTGCATATAATTGTATTCTCATCTTTTGTTGAAGCTTGATTTTTATTATTACAAATACGGATAATAAGTGGTAAAATTTGATTTTTAAATAAATCAGTTAAAACATTTCCATCTAAACATAGATACAAGAATCTTTAGCAACAAATTAATCATCTATATTTACAGATTATTTGAAAAAATCTTATTTCCGATATAAATTTTTAGTTTATATTTCAAGATAAATATTGAGATAAAACTAATTTATTATCAATAGAATATTCGATGATCTACTCAATTCTATTAAATTTATAATGAAATAAATAGTAGGAATTTTTTCTATAGTTCTCATTTGTTCAGAAATCAATGACAATTAAAATAAAAAATATCGTACTAGTAAACAAATGTTTTGCTCTTTCTATTTCATGATTACATAAACCAAGTTTACATAAGTTAGGATAATCTGTACAAAAAAGAACATGTTCCATAGATAATGATTCAACATTGAGCCACTGGATTTTATGATGAATCGAAGGTAAAATTGCAAAATAAAATCGATCAAGTATAGTATCAGATAATGGATAGATAGAATCATTGAAGAAACGCCTCATCAATGTTAAATGACTTGTAAATACTGAATCATGTACAAATGTGTTGAGCCATTTATTGACACCTATTAAAGAATAGAGTACTTGATCATTGTCCAAATTTTTCAAAATAATCGTAAGAAGTTCATCAGGTAAATCATCTAATTGAGCCAATGAGTGTTTTATAATTATTTTCACCTCTGTATACTCATTTATAACTTTGACATGTAACCATTTATATACAGACATTTATATCATCTGTAGGACCTTAATCATCAATGAAGACAATGATATGCATTTTTCTATAATTATCTAACTTGACTATGGGTGAGCGAACGAATGAAAAAATAATATTATTTTTGCTTCTCTTTTGTTCGACTTATTACATATGACACACATTGACTAAATTTTTTCATTTATATCTAACAGAAATGATTTATTGAAAGTTAAAAATTATTTTATCTTAGTAAAATGATATTTGAAAAGATTATTCACATCAATTTCGTATGTTTTTAACTCGGATTAATTGTTCTTCTTACAATTATGAAGAATAAAAGTTAGATAAATAATTGTTCTAGAATGAAATATATGAAGGTATATATATTCATTTTTTTCAAATATCTGCAACAATCATTACAGTTGGTAAACTGGAAGTCTATAAGATGAAATGATTGAATATGTCAGCTGTTTTCTTTATAACCCACGAAAACCGTATTCAGATTATTTTCGATAACGATAAACAATTATGTATGCATATGCTGAAAACTTCCATTCAGAATTATTTAACAGCAAATGTAAAACAAGATGATCGTGCATTTTGTCTCAATAATGAATGCAATGGTTTAATTCAATGTAAGTGTAACTATCAAGCTTGTTTAATCTGTGGTCGACATGTCGATCCTAAAGATCAAGTTATTGATGATGAATTTCATGTAGGACGAACTTGTATTCAACAAATTGAAGAACAAAAATGTCGAGAATTCTTACCTTAATTTTTTGAAGAAGCTAAAAAATTTTATCCGAAAACAATGGCCAACAGATTCTGTAATGATGCGAATCGGCAAAATCAATGTAAATCCTTATCTTGAAAAACAATATAAATCGCTAAAACGTTTTTATAAATGCATTAAAGTATAGGGTGATGATTTTCCATCAAATTCGGCAAAAGATTCCTTTGCTTATCACGGTAATCCTCTGAAGCGTTGATACCGACTTTTCAGAATAGATTTGATCCAAAACGCGTCTCTCAGATCAAGTTTATGATTCCGGTGAATATTTTGGAGTGAGAGCACATGTTTCTCATAGTTCTTCTCAAATGGAAAGTAACCAACTCAGTATAGTCAAATGATCATTGCTTATCTTTTACGAGATACACATTTTAAGAACTGTTCAAAATTTTTGCTACATTATCACTAATCCAACAGATTGAAAATATATTTTTAATTTACCAGTACTCATTGTTACATATGGACAAAAAGCGCATAGCCAACTATTTACTTTTCTCAAGTACAATACCAAACTATATTGATGACGAATTTTCATGGAATGTCTCGTTTTAATGGTATTGGCGTCAAGATAATGGTCATTTCGAACCCTATAATGAGACAATTAATGAAATACTCGAAAAATGTGATGACCAATGGAAACACTACCACTGACTCGTTACTTAGATGATATTCTTCAAACGTATAGAATCTACTATCAAAATAATAAACAAACTCATACGAAAACATCGTATACTCGAGTTATTGGTCGTCGACCAATGGATAAGCTTTTTGACAATCAGAATTGGTTTTATCATAACGAACATGGCCTTTGGATGCATTATAAATCATTGGTGCAGAAGTCGATTGACAGTGCATTTCGCCTATACAGGTCTGGATAAGGGATCATCGATCATTGGCATTCATTTCTTTGGACGTCCTGAGACGTATGAAATTAAATTTTTCAGAGACCAACAAACAAAATAACTAATGCGATCAGAAATATAAAACGCAAATAAGAACTCTTGATGGAGGAAATAGACATCGCTTTCTTTCGTCGAACATTATAACCAAATAGAGGCAATAAAGCTAATTAAAACTTCAATTGAATCTAAAATATTGTGAACGAATATTTCTTCTTTTATCTTTTGGTTCGATAATTGATATTTGATGGTGCGAATCTAGAACACACAGTACAAAAAACATTCCATTCACAGCTAAAACCATTTTGAATACTAGTAAATCTCTTGAGTACTTTGCTTTTCCTTGAGATATTTATTGGGGGAAAATACAACTTGTCATGCTGGTAACTGTGTATATGCTCATTCTAGTAAGATTTTGTAAAACAGATTTCAGCGATCAGTAGAGCATATAGTAGATTAAACATCTTGTGAAGAAAACTTGTTGAGACAAATAAGAAGATTATACACATTGTCATTTATATCTAATCGTTAATTTTTTGTCTGACTTGTCCTCTGATCAGCATTAGTTCGTATTTACAGGGTGTAACTCTTACGTTAGTATTGTTTCCATTCAAATCCATTCCCACACCCACACACCTTTTGCTAAACATCATAAACCAAAAGGACGTTTGATAGTCATTGATTTTTGTTAATGCTGGAAATATTGAGGCTTTTTTTTGAATATCTATATGAACATACTCACATAGTTACTCATAAACATGATGAGATCTTCTATAGATATCCTTTTTATTGAATTTTTCATTTAATTTTAAAAGGTTTTTTTTGTATCTGAACGAATGATTGATATGTTTAAAACAGCAGATTTACAAAATTCTCAAGTTGAGATATTATAAATTACTTTTTTTTGTTCTTATTAAAAATAATCATTTTTATTTTCTTTAGGATATTTTCACAATGACTGTATCTGAAAGAAGAATTATCAAGATCATAAATAATTTATCAAATTAATAGATAGCTATATTGATTTTACATTCTATTATTTTATTGCTTATGGTGATAAAGCTTAATATTATGAATATTTTTAACTGTTTATTTCTTAAAAGACAATGATTTATCAATTAAATTGCCTAGGGTATGGAGTGTGGGTGTGCGGGACCTGGGTACCAGTGGGAAGAGAATCAACATCCACAACTACACTTCTCCCTTGACATAATATTTTTCTCGACAAGATCATTGATGCATTTTATTCAATGGCACTGACGAAGACAAATAAACAATGAGCATAAATATATATATATGTATCATAAAAGAAAAAAAGAATGACAATAAGAATACGAATTAGTCCAAGATTAATCTTCTTGATCTACCTACTGAAGTTTTACTTATTATATTAAAAAAAAAACTTGATAATATGGATGTACTTTATTCATTGTTTGATCTTAATGATAAATGACTTGATAACATAATACAAGAAAATACTTTTACTAATAATCTTAATTTTGTATTCATAACATTAACTGATGATATGTTTTATCAGTATCTGATCGAATACTTCATCGATTCTGCATGAACATATTGCCAAAAATTTCTTATAATGTTTAATCTCTTATTCTTAATTCATTATCTATAGAACATATTCTTTCTGCTGCTGATCAACTTAATTTAAGTAAACTTAAAGTCTTCAATTTCAATGATGAAATTGCTTTACTTTATTTTACGAGTAAATAACTTCTATACTAATCTGAATAAAGATTTAAATAAATAATAGTTTTGTATAGATAAACTAACTAATATGTATTTTTTATTTAGCTAAATTATCATTTCGACGTATTTTTCAAGAACAAATTACAGAACCTATTCTTCTTTCTGAAAATCATTTTAATGAAATATCCTGTAAAAACTATACAGCAGATGTGTACGAATATATATTGAAATTTTTCGAAAATCTTAAACATTTATCTCTTATTGGATTATTTCCAAAGTCTTTTCCGCCTTTATTACTTCGTAATTTACCATTAACTAGTACTTTCTATTCTTCAACTCTTTACAAATTATGTATTTATGTAATATATTATGATGATTTCCTTGCTTTAGTTGACGGGTCGTCTTATAATACAACAAATGTTTGCAATATGGTAAGTTTAAATTTTATTCAATTATTCTTTTGAATTTAACAAAAAAACAAAATACTATGGATCACGATTATAAATTATTTTCATATTATTATTGAAAGATTATTTTTTTCTTAATTTTTTTTGGATCAACTATTATTAAATGGTGAGAGAGAATGCGAGCGGCGAGATTTGGAGAAGAAGCGAAGAAGAGTACTCAGAACTTTTAAAAGATTGAGAACAACTTTCTCCCATTTTTGAGAAACTTCGAACATACTTGACTTTTCCCTTAGGTTTTTCAAAAATTGAGCACAAATTTCGTTATTTTGGAGAAATTTCTCACGAATTTTATCATCCCTCCCTCGCAAAGAATGTTCCAAATGTTTTAGTCGAGGTTATCCCTTCAACCTTGACAAAATTTTGCATTTTTTCTCAGTAATTTACAAAAGATTTTTAAGAAAATTTAAAAGACTTTCGAAAACATCACCGCCCTTCCAATCTCTTCGCCTTCAAGACACCTCAGCTACTCTTCCTCCACCAGTTTTAAAAAACTGAAGATAAGTTTCAAATTTCTCAGAAATTTCGGGGGTAGACCTCTCGTTTGTTTTTTCACATCCTATTTCATTTTTGTAAATAGATTTCTTGTTTGAGCTCTTCGCATCGTCTCTGTTTTTGATTTTAAACAAACATCACTGATATGTTTGAAC